TATTGATTTTTCTTCATACTCTTATTGTTTATTTTTATTCTTCAATCTGTAACAATCGGTCTTGATGTGCCCTTTCTTCTTGTAATATTTGTAGGTCAGATTACTGTGCTTCAACTTATACCTGTTACCTCCAAAGCCCCTTTCTTCTAATTTTTCTCGAACAAATAAGCCATCAGCTTTATCGCCACTTTTACTTATGGTTAACTCTTTGTTGATCTTCTTCTTATTCAATAAGTTCTCTTTGACGTCCTTGATACCAATAGAATCTCGACCATAAATCATAGTATCCCTGAAGTGCTTGTAGGAAGGCGACAAAGAACACAATAACAATAGGGCTTGATCTTCATCGTCGATCTTAACATCAATCTTACTCAAATCTATAATCACAAACTTAAATTCGCTAATATGAGATTTGATGGGTGTTCCTTCCGATATCCGAAGTGGCAAGATTTGTTTTATTTTGGACAGGCTCCTCTGCAAGCAGATCAGGTCTTAAGCTCCACAAGGTGGCTATCAACTTGGGCATGAAAAACATTGCCCAAACACACAATGAAGCTGTAGGGGATGACAACTTCTCAGCAACAACCTGATTCCCAAAGCTGCAGTCCCAACCTTTCTTTGCTGGATTTTTTGGTAGTGTTCCAAATCTCAGCTGTATCTGGGGTTCCCATCTAGCTTTTGTTGGGTATTTTGGTTAGGTGTTCTAAGTGTTAGTAGTACGAAGCTGAACTTTGTGGTATTTACATTTGTTTTGTGCTGTTTTGTGGGTCATTGTTTGGGATACCGGTTCTTCCTAGTTTCTTAACAAAGGCCTATTATGTACATTAACATTATTATCATCATCATTATATATATATATATATATATATATATATGAGATTACATTTGTTTTGTGCTGTTTTGTGGGTCATTGTTTGGGATACCGGTTCTTCCTAGTTTCTTAACAAAGGCCTATTATGTACATTAACATTATTATCATCATCATTATATATATATATATATATATATATATATGAGA